ATGAAATTTTATTTAAAAATAATAGATTTATAATAAATTTTATAACATATTTTATCTAAAAATTAAAAAAAATTGTAAGTTCTTATGTAGAATTTCGCATAATTATTGATTAAAAATTATGACTAAATTTGAATAAAAATCATTACCATTTAAGGGATAAAGAAGTTATTTTATGATTAGAATATATATCTAAAAATCTAATAAGAACTATTTTATAAAATTATATAACTTTAATAATTAAAATTATAACATTAATATTTTTATTATAAATTTATTTAGCAATTATTATAATATTATGAATAATATAAATATTTATATTGATAAATGTTATTATTTAATATTAATATTAATATTAATTAAATTATATATATTAAATTATTTTAAAATATTTTAAAAATAAAGATAAAATAATTTTAAGATTTACTTTAAAATTTAAAAAAATAAAGAATTTACTAATTTTTCAAATAAATTAAAACTTAAAAAAAAGAAATTAAAAATTTAAAATTTAAAATATCTTAATAAAATTTCGAGATTTAGTTAATCTAGAGATATAACATATATTTTTAAAAATTTAATATAACTTAACGTTAACTTAAAAAAAATAAAAACAAACAATATAATAAATAAAGATATTATATATTATATTTGTTTACAGTTAAAATTTTATATAAAAACCTTTATAATATTAAATTATGAGTTATATTTTTTCAAATAAATTGAGAGGTTTTACTGATAAAGCTTGGAAGAATTCTGGTGCTCAATGACGTAGCGAACTTATAGTCTTAAAAGACAATAAACATAATAAACATGCATAGTATTATGAATGGGAGCATAAAAATTGCTCGCGGTGAATTTACCAAATTTTTTTACGGAGTACATCCAAAATTACCAAATAAAGCAATATTGATTTTTACGAAAAGATCCATAATTATCAAATAAGAGAGTTAATTTATTTTAAATAGTACGAATATTATCGTTAATTCTTTACGGTGAACATAATTTTAGAAATATTCGGTCAAACGTGGATTTATCGGTGTGGTTTTTGATGTCTTAAGATAAATATTAAAAAATAATAATAATAAAAAGTTAATTTTGAACTCGCCCGTGTTACTGTTTGTAACAAAATTATTATAAAAAGCTCTATTACCAGGGGTATGTGAAGACCTATAACGAAAAGAAAAAAAAGACATTTTTCCGGAAATGGTATCACGTGTAACAAAAATATTATAAAATTTTGTTAATAAGCGAAAATAAACAATCTTAAAAAAAATACGGGTCCTTTGACGCCATGAACTTGCCTTTTTAGGAAAAACATCCCAAAATGATTGATTTCACGGGATATCTGTGACATGTATGATAAACGAAATGAAATCCAAATCGGTATCGCTGCGCAGTTTTCTTTGTTCTGCCTCACTTTTTGTCACCATCCCTTTACATAAATTCTTGTATTTTATGCAGAAAAGTATTTTCCATATCGGCCACATGAGAGAATTACTCTTCCGAAAATAAATATATAAGAGGTTGTCACTAGTCCAAATTGCAAAAAGTTTTGTTTTGCAATACTATACTAATTGACACGATGGCGTAGTAAAGATTTATTCTACGTACGATAATAAGTAATCATTCATGATGTGATGGTTAATTAAATTAACTGCATTATTTTATCATACTTCTTATTCAGACATTTTATTTTTTGAATACGGCGAAAGAAAGGATTTTTATTTTATTTTAATCTTTATTTGTAAAAAGGTCAGAACAAAAGAAAATTTTTACACATTAAATGCTTTCTAGATATAATTTTAATTATGTAATTCTTTTCATTATGATATCGTAAATAAGCAGATTTTGGATTAATAACGACACAAGCTTTTATTTTATTTTATTTTTTTTTTTTTTAAACAACTAAAATACCATCGTTCTTCCTTACTTATGACGATAATTTTCCAAATTGAATTTCAGCCCGATAGCTCATTAATGTTCTCATACGCCAAAATTTAACCATCTCCGCTTTCAAAACAACCAATGAAAACTTACGCTCGACAACGTTTTTTGTAAGGAAAAGGATTGGGTACATGGGGCGCAGCAGATTTAGACGCGTAAGCTATGCACAAACAATGAGAAAATTCTTCATCTTCCATCTCTTTAACTTTAAATGGGTTTATTAAAAGAATTTTATTACATTGAATATGCTTTATTTTTGAATATCTAAATATAGATTCATTTAAAATGTTATCTTGTATACAAATCTATAACGCCCCTTAAATTAAATTGACTGATCGTCCTAAATTTTGCAACAAAAATAGGCAAATTAAGGAGTTTTAGTATCCGAAAATAAAAAGGATCAATTTTTTTAAAAAAAATTCTGATTTATTATTTATTTTATGATATACAAAATATCGCAGATATATAAAGATGTTGGGTCCTTTTTGGTTCCATGAACGAAATTATTTTTTATTTATTAAAATTTTTTATTTTCAAATTTATTTTTTATCCCTTTTATTCAACGAGACGAGAAATAAAAAAATTTTTGTAAATATTTAATTAACCAAAATTAAAATTTCGAACCCGAACCGCTGATAAAATATTCCTAATTTTTGATCAAGACGAGCGCGAAACACCGCAGCAATCGTGGCGATCCAAAAAAAAAACCAGAAAATTGTTTAGTGAGATGAAATGTCTCGAGAAAAGTTTTAAGGGTAGGAGAAGGAGTTTCTTTTTTCCAATATGTATGTCATGGATTACATAATGAGCTTGCCACATCGTCTGAACGCAAATAGTCGACTAAACAGTATGCAAATGTGTTGTAATACAAGTGCTCTGTGAATTTTCTCACACTTTCCGAACTCCGCGCCTGTGGTCTCGGGTCCAAAAAAAAGGGGGAACTATTGCACAAAGTGCATTACATTTTGAAAGAATCAAAGGCAGAATTGGGACATTTTGAAAGAGATTTTTTTTTTTTTTGATATTTTCTTTGTTTATCTTTATTTGGCAAATTTAATGCGTTTCCTTTTTTTTATGTATAAAAATTAGGGATGTGAGTAATATATCTTCTTTATACGATATTTTCTCATCCCAATCAATGTATTTTATTAAAAATTAATAAAGCCATTTTAAAAGAATAAATCGCAAAATTCTTTTGGATTTGATGGGTGTATTCCGTATGATCTTAACGTGACATACGCTTTTACTCTAAATATATTTTTTTTATTTATTTCGTTTATTGTTGAACTTTCGCCATCAAAGTACCATTATGTCATGACAAATAACGTGAATAGTATTTCCATTTTCATTGAATTGGACGCGTTATATAACCATTTATAATGTAGTCGTACTACTGATAATAAGATACGATAAGGAATACCCACGTGAAGGTTTATTCTAGGTATTTGAGGTCATTAAGATTTACTTTTATAATTATCACATTACATTCATTTAATAATACTCTTTATCTACTACTTTTTATATTTCATTGGACGTGACGAGAATGTTATTCGTCACTTGCCGGTTGTCTATATAAATTCAATTGATGGGAACGCTGTTGATTTTTCACCTATATCGTTTTCCTTCTTTTGATTAAAAAGATTTTTCTTCGTATCTTTATTTTTAAACAAAAACAATGAAACACCATAATCAAGAACTTGCACGCAATCATCAATTTTGGCCCTTTTTGATTCTTGACCAAAATAAGCATTGGGTAATAGTCTTTTCTTTAAGTTCTGAAGGACTATTTGTTCTGTCAATGTTTAGTTTCCCTAGTACCCGAATGACATTGGAAATTTGTCGGGAAAATTCTTCTCGTTCACCAAATTCTTTCATAATCTTTAGAACATTCTTTTCTCGATCGCTTAACATCCCAACAATCTCTTCGTTTGATGTGGGCAAGATTAGTGTTCTTGCCCAATCTGTCTGGAATGTGGCTTCAGAAAAGATGAAAAATGCATTCTCTCAATTATCAAAAAATGCCGCAAATTATCTTCGTGCAATTCGTGCACCTTCTTTCATAAACCACAAACCAAGCAAACACTTTTCAACTTCCAAAATCAATGATTCTACATTTGAAAGAAATGAATCGCCACCTTCAAAAGAAAGAAATTTGCATCCACTAAGCTTCGAAATTATGACAGCAAAAGATTTTAGAACAGATGAGCCAAAAATGGATTCAATAGATTTTCAATTTAATGATGATATGATACCGTTTTTGTTCAACGAATCCAATTTTTATTTCTTCGATTTATATTCACTTGAGCAAATGACATATTATACCTCACCACCGAGCCATCCACCTGGAGAAATTTTTGCGCAAGGATATCCGTTGGAAATATCAGCTGATACGACTTCATTTTTTGAAGGTAACCAAAATCAAGAATCTTATTCTAAACCCGAACCAAAAGAAACTATTATTAAGTTTGACGACACAGCGGATTATGAAAACTTTTTTGGTTATTTTAGTGAGGAAGATAAAGTTGGCTTGCAATTTACAAACCGCGATTCCATTTTTTTTTGAAATTTAATTAGTTTATTTTACAATTGTTAACAATGTACAAAATTTAAATATAGTCAATTTTTTAAATGTTTTACATCTTTATTAAAATTACTCTATAAATTAGCAACCTTTCTCAATATTGAGATGAATTTACCATATTTTAAATTATTTATTTTTTCCATACATTTATTTTCATTAATTTTTTTTCATTCAATTTGTTATCACTTAATTAGCATCGTAATTTCCATTTTTGGTAGAATTTTCGGAAATTTTTTGCAATTTTTATTTACTTTATATAATAAAAATTTTCCCGAATTAAATATTTGGAAACATAAACAATGCTTATTTATCACGCCGTGCCAAAAAAAAAATTTTTTTTTCGCTTATCAATAAACTTCTTTTAGAAGGTATAGGATTTTTTAACAATAATAAAAAGCAAGCGGTCGGTGATCATTCAAGAGGATGATTTTCTTCAAATTCTTAAAAGATTTTTCATTAACCTTTTTTATTCTCTTTAATGCGTTCTGATAAATGATTCTCTAATAAATGAACTTGATAAAGAATCATATTCCTTATCTTGATAAGATAACTTATCAAAAAAAAATCAATCGCTTATGAATAAGTTGCAACGATGCATTATTTAGCCGACTTTGATTATCCCATCCTCGCAAAAGGAATTTGGTTTCCGTTTATACCTTAGATTTTAAGATAAAATTCAATTATTATTCTCTTAAGAATGGTTGGCTTGAGAATTTGTTGCTAATTTAAAAAAGTGAGAATTGAGAATCTGATTCATATAATTAACTTCGGAAGAAATAATCCGATTTGTCATCGACAAATAGAAATTTTTTTTTTCGCCGCAAAGACATATTATATTACAAATAATTGAAAAAAATATAATGCATAACGTTCGGGTTTTCTGCATTATTGTATCACATGAGTGTAATGTGTTCAGAACATGTCTAGTGATTTGTCACATGGTACCTGTTCTTCACTTGTTTTATAAGTCGAGTTGCCTATTTGTCCATACAAAGAACTTTTGTTTACGATTGTTCTTAATATGGATTGATCACATTTACAATTTTTCCGCACTCATGATCAAAAGTAATGCAGGCATCAAGTTGATCATGAGGAAGTTTCTCAAATATATAACTTTATTCTGGATATATCAGCTGCCTATTCTTGCATAACTGCAAGAAATGATACACGAGAACGAAAATGATAAGACGGTATCATTTCTTTTAGGCAAATGCGTGACCCTTTCCCTTCTATCTCGAACATAAAGAATTCCTCAAGTTATTTTCAATTAATAAGCGTATAAAACTAGGATGAGTCACGAGGAATGATTTACCCATTGTTGATTTTTCATGACCGAACTCATGACGGACCATTGTAATTTTGTTCAACCTCATTTATCCAAAAAAAATTGTCAAAATGTGTATCACAAGATTTTAAGATTTACACAAACCAATTCAGTTACTTTCAAAGGTGTCAATTCTGTTAGGACCACCGTGTAACAAACAAAACGATTGTGTTTAATTAAAATAAAACAAGTCATTGTGAAACGAGCAACAATTAAAAATAATTGTCATGTAAAAATGTTAAAAAATCATTTTGATGTTATTGTACTAGTATTTATCGATGTATTCTTCGTTCCACATAACGGTAAATTCTCGCTGAGAAATCAGAAGAACCCTGAATGAATTTCTTTGTCATTAAATCGGAACCAATATATATATATACTATTTTAACAAATTTTTTATGTTACATTTATAAATAAAGTAATAAAAACAAAGCATATTATGCAACTTACAATTATTTTAAGAATTTATGACATAATGACAGAAATTCTTATTTGGCGGAGTCCAAATAAAAATAATGACCTGACCCCCTAATGCAATGTCTTTTATTGCAAATGATTTCATTCCTTACCATGGCAAAAACGCCAAATCCCAAAAAAAATTCGTTCAAATCTTCATCCCTGTTTACATTTTCCAATAAACAAATTCGTATCGATTAGCAAAATATTTCATTCATAAGAAGTTTTTTCGAGTCTACAATATCTGTTTGTTTCTTTATAGAACGCTCTAAATGTATTTACCTGCGATTACTTATTCCCCTGCATAAACGTGATTTTATTTTTCCATTGTTATTTAATTGCCAGACCAGTAAAAATTCATTTGGATGTATTTGTCGAACATTACGACTCCACACCATAAAAAAAAAAATAAATAAAATGTAGATGATAAATCAAACAAATGTTCAGCCTCCAAAATCAATTATACTATATTTAAATGAAAAATTAAAATTAAAAAAAATTAAACAAAAAAATATTCAATAAAAACATTTTTTCTTACATCAAGAATTTCATTTTCGATCCGTTATCATGATTACACAATATGTTTGTGGCTTAGTCTTTCATTATTCTTAAAGTCATAATAATTGATTATTATTCATTGTTTAAAAAAAAAGGGATGAATAACAGCGCGACATGTTTATTTTAGAATTATAAATTCCGTGTTTCACATATTCTCTTGAGCGCGATTAATAATAGGTTCATCGATGAAATTGAAATAAAAATAAAATACAATAATTGATGAAAATTGAACGCAATATGAAATCCGTTAACTACATTCAATTCGTCAAGAATTTCGTGAACACATATTTGATTTTACAAATTCTCTTGCTAATTAATGCAGGAATAATTCCATCCATATTTGAAAAATATAATTTGAAATAATTTTAAATATTATCGTTATCATACGAAAAAAAAAAAAGAATTAGTCTGATAACCGGATTTTATAATTCCGATCCTGTGCAACATTTTTTTTTTTTTAAAAAAATTAATTTAGAAATGTAAGCGAAGAGCGACAATTCATATGAAAAATCTCATTATAGGCCTGGAATTTTTTTTTTTGAATTTTTAAAAAAAGGAATTATTTAAGTAAACGGAAAAAAACGGAAAGGCAAAACAAAAATTTAAGTTTCTGTTAGATTATACTCACTTCTTATTATAGTTATCAATTCATTCAGCTGAGCAGATCATTTATGATTAATGATTATGCAAAAATTTAGAATTTGAATTTATTTAATTTCTAACGTTTTACAAAACTTGATACGTGAATGTTGTGTTGATTTCTTCTTTACGAACTCCGTAAAAATGGCAAATTAATTTTGATAAATGATAAAAAGTCATTGAAGAGATTCCTTTTATGTCACCCATCAAAGTAATATAATTTTGTGGCAAATCATACATTTATTTGGCTCTTTTTTTCATTTTTATTTTATGAAGTATGTAATGATAAGTGCTGCAAAAATAATGAATCAAAAAAATAGTACGATCCGAATTAATATCCGAAAAGTTTCTAGGATCATTGATGTTTTTATAAATCGACTGCATAATCATCTGTCTCATGGAATTCTTTTTTTGTCGATAAATAATTAAATAAATCACAAATCACAATAAAATGCCGAAACTGACTTGCCGGCTTATTATTCATAAGGCATCAATTTTCTTTGAATCCCTTACAAGGAAAAAGTGAAAAAGCGATTTGAAGATCCAATCAAACGATTGAGACACGAAAAATTTTTTTCAGTAGATTAGAAATCCTGTGAAACTTAAATAATACGCGACGAATTATTCACTTGCCTTTTTTAACAATGGCAAAAATGTACATTTCATTTTCGCTTTTATTTTTCTCTTTTTAACCTCGTGGAGGCTTAGTATTCGGGGGAGGTAACACCAAAGGATCAAGTACCAAATAAACGCGTAATTCTCCATTTGCGTCAGTCAATAGGATTGAGTTGTCTTTCGTAAATAAGCAACCATTATATGATTAAAATGGCAAAGATTCTTTTACACTTTACTTATATACTTTCAAATAAGTTCAAAAAAGCTTCAATTATGCATTATGTGTGCGCGTCTAAAAAAATAAAATTGCAAAAACATAAACCTTATTTTCTCCAATATATAAAATGAATTATAATAATCGAATAATAAGTGCCGAATATTCGACATATAAAATCTTTCATACCCTGTACTTAAATTCCGCAAATAAGACTCCGAATAGGTTTCATCTTATAATTTATAACGTGCGTTGCAAATTTCTACACTCATATTAGAATTCCATATTTGTCTTATAATAGTTTATTTAAGAAGGCCATGCTATACCATTTATTCAGCTCCTCGACAATTATAAAAGAAGCGATTTTTTTCGTATTTTGATTTTTTTTTTTTTCAAAGAATTAGTTTTATTGGTAAAGATAAAACTCCCTTCGATTCGAATCGTATCCTTTAATTTTTTTTTTTCGTTTAAAAAAATGCCTATACATTCCACCCCCATTCCGCCATCGTATCCCCAAGCCATTATCCATCGTCAACATGATGGTGAATATTGGTTTGAACTCGAGGGACGTATTACTCACTTCATCATCCCGACGATAGAGGATGTTATGAGAACCTGTAAGGTGGCTAGTCGTAAGCCACCGACAGTTTTCATAATATTTAGAAGCCTGGTGCAGAGATGCATGAGGTTGCTTAAAAAATATGAGCAACACCAGGTCTCAAAGGTCTCTTCAGAACTTTGGAAACATGTAAAAATGCAAATGAAAGATTTACATGGTAAATTTCAGTCACTTTATGAAGAAAATAAAAAACAGTGGAAAAAGAGAGATTTAATTTTCGAATATTATAATCCAACAAGTAAATTTTTTTTTCTTAATTTGGAAATTGAATAAATTATATAATTGCAAATCTTAATTTATTTTTTATTTTTTTTTGTATTTAACAGGCTCCAACGATAAAATCGTGTCTTCTACATCTAATGAAATGAAGACATTAACCTCCTCTGAAGAAATACAAATTACAGAGGAATTGTTTGTTGGGTTAGCACATGTGCCTGGATTTAATTATTACTTGGGAAACCCTTCCTACTAGGGTAGGGTAAAACAAGACGAAAAAAAAATTACGAAACAAAAATGGAGAAAAAAATTTTATTATTAAGCAATATTTTTTTTTATTTATTTTTTTATTTTTTTTAAAAAAAAAAAAATAATAATATACGTAAATATGAGAAATTTCCTTGTGCCAACCAAGGAAATTTCCTTTATTTTTTTTTCTTAATTTTCATTCTATTTTTTTTTAAAAAAAAAAAAAATTTAAGTATTTAAGCTATTTAATATGTCGTAAGTCATTAAGAAATTATATTATAAGCAAATAAAGATGAAATATTTAAAATAACCTGCTTGAATTTTCGCAAATACATAAGCACATCGATAAATGATTGATTGGAATCCTAACGATGTTTCAAGTTCGTTATTCACGATTCATAAATAAAATGTTTCACATTGGATTTAGAATTTGATAATTTTTTAGTTTCTTAGGTGCTTTTTTTGCATAATTAATAATTAACTTTACGCATATCAATATGTTTACATTCATATTAAACTTAATTGATTTCTTTAAGAAATGATTTAAACTTTCTTGAATTAATATCTATATATATACAAAATAGAATAAACAAAGAAAAGGAGTGTCGGACAAACTTTCCGCAAATTGAAAAAAAAATATATCCAAATTTAAATTTTCCCGTTAATATTTTTTCTAAAAAATTTATTTGTCGCACAAAATCTATTATCCCGTTCCAACTTTTATTAGGGAAAGAATTTTGTCATAATTCAACATGAAAGTACAATAGTTTTTTGAAAATAAAAAAAAATATTTTAATTTTTAATTGGCGGGAATAATTTGAATGCAAGGTCTAGATTATTTGTAGTTAAAGGAAGAACACTTGAACCATTGCAACAAATAAAAAGAACACCCAAACCTTTTAATAAATCCTTTAAGAGATTTTCAATTTTTCAAAGTACATCAAATAATAAATAATAATAATAATAAAACTTAATCTTTAAGGAAAAGGCAAACGCTTAGTTCAAGTCTTTAATAAACAATTGATTGTGAATCAACTATGGAAGAGAAATTTGTACCAGCGTTTGTTTTATAAAGTATGAACTAATTATCAGCTAGTTATGCAAATATGAAACATCTAAAAACGATTAATATAGTTAAAGACGTGCATTTTGATTGTTCGGGCAGATTTCTATTAGTACTTACGGATCGTCTTTATCATTCAAGGCCATATTGCACAAATTAAAAAAAGAATCAGCAGATGATTATGATGCAATGTGAACTTTTCAACTTCGTTTATTCAGGCCGGTTGTCGCTACTTTTGGATTTTGTGCGGATTAAGGGTTTTGTGTACGCTTTCCATATTTAAATGAATCATCACATTACTAAATATTTTATCCACAGGTTGAACTAAATTTGTGCATCAGATGGAAAAAGGATCACTTGATTGAATACTCTAGTTCTTCAAACTTGATGGTTGCAAGAAACTGCAAGATTATTTGTTTGAGTTTAAATAGAATATCGAAATGTTTTTGGATTAGAATCGAGTATGTAAAGAATTTGTAGCATTGAAAAGGTATATTCCAGCTCGCGTAGAAATTTCCTTCACCCATCAAGAATAAATATTGAAATTTTCCACGTCTTACCAACACAAGTATTATGTTCTATATCTTTGCAGTGATTTATTTCAAATTATTATTTTTGCCATATTGACCTTCAAGGACCAGATTTTTGAATGGTCATTTCAAAATAGTAAGATGACCTTTCTATCACTACAGACGTCCATGGATTCAATTCACTATTCTAATTTTACATTCTATATTGCATTTTAGGAGACAATTGAGTTATAGCGTTATGTTTTACAAATTATTTACCTTGTACTCGAAATTTCAACAATTAATATAAGTTGGGTGATCAGATGCTAGTTACTTGAACCAATTATCTCATTAATTAAAATAAAAAAATTTTATTAATATTTTCTTCGCTATTTGGAATGCTTATTATTTAAAGTTATAAAATAAATAATTGAAACAATAATGAATGCATATGTTTATCTAATTGTATTTTTATCTGTCGGGCAGGACATGAACCAAAAATTTAGGGTAATAATATTTTACTTACAGATTGATTTGTCGGAAATTTATATTTCAACCAACTAGATACTTGCTCGTGACTAAGTAAACTAATGAAATGAAATGCATAAATTTATATTTCTATTTGTTAATGCGTGGCGTGGCGTGTTGATTAGAATTCTTTCTCAAGTTTTCAAGAATAAAAATAATAATAATTCGATATATTTATTTCAACAAAAGGCGCCTTAAATCAAACTAAGACACGTACCCAAGTTATTAAAAATACTGGATCTAAATCCTCTAATCCTACCATCCCATTAAGCCTTTGAAGGTTCAAGTCTATATTCACCAAGAATTTCAGGCTCGTGGTACGTTATTCAAACTTATGATGAATTAACTCACCTGAGTTAATATTATGTAGTACTAGACAAAAAAGATTAATCGCAAAAAAAAATTTATTTTTTTTGTTTCATATCTTTCATACAAATCTTGATGTTTCGACAGGTGGCAAATCGAAACTAGTTTTGACGATTTGCTAAAAATTTAAAGGAAAAACCTTGAAAGTTTCGACGAGTGGAAAACATCAAAACCTTTGATAGTAAATGAGACCCCTCAAAATAACATTCTTTTCAACTACATACTTTTTGGAATTCTGATTTATATTAAGTATGATTGAGGAAAAATTTCTTGAAAAAATTTGTCAAAAATCTTTACGATACAATCTCAAAGTTTAGTTAAAATTGAAATGAATAAATTTTATTTAAAACATTGAAATCCGACGAAATCCGTCGAAAACCATCTAAACTGTCAAAATTTTGCCAAAATGAGATTAGGGCCGCAACATTGGAATGAACGACCAATGAGAAATTCTTGATTTTTATCATTGAGTCATTTTGCGACTACGACAAATTTACGAGTGTGTATACCGTTCCTAAATTTACAGGAGTGGTGTTACTTTATAATTTATTTATTAAATTTATCACCCGTATTAGTGAACGTTTTTTCTGCGCCTTTCAGCAGTGATGGCAAATGACCTCAAATGACTTGGGTCACAGGTCACATGTCATTTTGGTCATTCTGAAGTCAAATGACAAATGACATTGTCATTTTGTCCACCAATCATTTAATGAAAAAATTTTGTTCTTTTAATGCTCCGCAACTTATAAGTTGCGGATTAAGTTTCGGATTTTAGGTTGCAACTATTATGAATTTTAAAAAAATAATTTCGCAATATCCGCAAATTCACAATTAATCCGCAAGTCTACAATTAATTTACTATTAATCTGCTATACCACAATAATTATTAAATACATAAATATATATAATTTATAATTTTGACAAAGATATTAATCAAATTTTATTAGATTAAATAAAAATAAAAATAAAATATTTATAAATATAAAGGTTCAGCTTACATAAAAAAGAATCATTTCAAAAGTTCAATCTACAAAATAAAAGAAACATTAATAAAATGTTCCTTTCAATTAGCAATGAAACACCTGATTCCATCTTAATTCAGATATATGATTAAGACTTTATTTGGATAACAATGACATATCAAATTTATTATATAACTATTAAATCATTTCAGATCGAATAATCTTAAATTCAAAAAAAGGTAAATTAATGTTAGTTTATTTTTTGAAAAAAAAATTTTAATTATAAAATTTTTACAATAGGATTTACCTCAGATTCCATGGTTTAGAGATTCCGAAACCTACAAAAATATAAGTATTAATTTTCTTTTTTATTTTTATTAAAAAATCACATATCTTCATAGGAACTTACCTTCAATTTCAAAGTTTGAGGAATTCCAGAATCCTAATAGCAAAGCTTCTAAAAATCTTGGAATTCTACCTCTATAAATAATATGTATAAGGAAAGTATATGTAAATAATACATTTAAAAACGTATAATAAACGTAGATAAACAGTATAATAAATTCGTAAATATTTCCTTATACTAGATACTGAAATCTTCTTTTTCTGTGTGCAAAAAGATACTGAATTTATACATCTAATCAGTATAATGTATACGTAATTTTGTTAAATTTTATACGTCAAATCAGTATATTGTATACGTTATTTTAGTTGGATTTTTTACGTCTAATCAGTATATTGTATACGTTATTTTTAATTGGATTTTTTACGTCTAAACAGTATATTGTATATATTATTTTTGGTTGCATTTTTATGTCTAAACAGTATATTATATATATTATTTTTGGTTGCATTTTTATGTCTAATCAGTATATTATATACGTTATTTTTGGTTGCATTTTTTACGTCTAATCAGTATATTGTATACGTTATTTTTGGTTGCATTTTTTACGTCTAATCAGTATATTGTATACGTTATT